TCTGCTTGCTGTTCTCACTCACCCTTCAAAGGGAAGTAATGAATGAATAAACAAAGTAGTATATCCAGAAATAGAATATTATTCAGCCATAGAAATGGACTCAAAGAAAAAAACACATTGTCATCTCAGTAGATGGAGAAAAGGCTTTTGACAAAATTCAGCTTTGCATTTATGCTCAAAGTCATAGAGGGAATTGGACTGTAGGGAACATACCTCAACATAATTAAAGCCATATACAACAAACCCACAACCAACATCATTCTGGAAGCATTCTCATTGAAATCAGGAACCAGACACGGCTGTCCACTATCTCCACTCCTCTTTAACATAGTGCTTGAAACTCTTGCAAGAGCAATAAGACAAGAGAAGGAAATTAAAGGAGTAATAGCTAGAATGATCAAGTTATTCCTTTTTGCAGATGATATGATATTATATCTAAGAGATGCCAAAAATTCCACCAGAAAAGCCTAGAAATTATTAACTCGTTGAGTAAAGTGGCAGGTTACAAAATTAATCTACAAAAGTCTATAGCCTTTCTATAAACCAATAACAAGCAATCAAATAAAGAGCACGTGGACACACTCCCCTTCACAATAGCTGCAAAAAAAAATCTCGGAATAACCCTGACCAAAGACATTAAAGACCTCTACAATGAAAATTTTAAACCTTTAAAGAAAGAGATTGAGGAAGACATCAGAAGATGGAAGGACCTCCCAAACTCATGGATTGGAAGAGTTAATATTGTGAAAATGACCATCCTACCAAAAGCCATTTATAAATTCAATCCAGTGCCAATCAAAATCCCCATGAAATTTTTCACAGAATTGAAAAAAAACGTCCTAAGATTCATATGGAAGCACAAAAGACCTGGGATAGCCAAAGCAACCCTGAGCACTAAGAGCAATGTCCAGGGGATAATTATGCCAGATTTTAAGCTTTATTACAGAGCTATAGTCATAAAAACAACATGGTACTGGCACAAAAATAGACCCATAGATCAATGGAGCAAAATTGAAGACCCAAATATGAGTACATGC